CCGCGCGGACGGACCGGTTTCCCCTCCCTCCCGCAGCGCGGACGGGTCCGCCGGCGCCCCCGGCTGCCGCCCGAGCCGCCGCCTCTGGTGCTCTGCGGGGAAATCTGTGGTCTGGGCCGCCCGCCCCTGGATCTTCTCGTGTGCAGCCCTCCGGGCGCTCCCCGGCGCGGGCCGAGAGCGAGTGCGCGCGCGTTGTGGGTCAGCGGAATGTCTAGTGGCTGTCCTGGCGCGTGCGTCAGTGACATCTACGGAACCGCCAGGACCCGGCGGCTGGCGGGGTCTCCGCGCGCGGCGCATCCTGTTTCCCTCGGCAGGTGTAGTCACAGATGACAGGCGCTGCGCAGCTGTGTTTGTTTCAGGTCCATTTCTCCTTACCATACGCAGTCCTTCGGCGTTACCGTCAGTACCCAGTTGTGTAAACTCTTGGGTTTAGGGAAGAGGCTGGGACCGCATATGGTGGAGCACAAAAAGCCAGGTTAGAGGTGGTTACCAGTTGCCCTTCAGGGTGTCGGTTCCTTATTTGTCGTTGGGGAAAAGTAGTACAGCCGGAGATGGTGGCGCATGCCTGTAATCCCAGCAGTCAGGAGGCTGAGACAGGAGGATCTTGATTTCAAGGTCAGCCTAGGCTACAGAATGACACCTTGTCTCCAAACAAAGTAATAATAATGATGATGATACTTGCTCACAGGTTTATTGGAATGAAATGACGTATATGAAAATACTTAGTTGTGATGTACTGTATACTGTACCTGGGAAGTGAAACTCCAGTCTGTTCACTTTATATTGTGCTTTCTCAATGCTTATAAAAATATGCTGCTGACAAGTGCACTGAGAGCCATTATTCAAGTCGTGTTGGTTTCCTAGGAGTTTTGGCTAGAAGATTCCTGCTGGTAGTCTATTCAGATGCTGCACGGACCAGAGGTGTGCAGTACCTGTGAGCTCCCACCCTTGCTCACAGGTTCTTCCCCCTTCCTCTTGTCAGGGTTGGCATTTGAAGGCCTTGCCCTTCTGTACTTCAGGCCTGTGAGAGAATAAAAATAGTCATTTCAAAGCCTGCTTTGCTTGGCATTCCGGATAGGATAAATTGGGTGGGGGGGGGTGGTTCATAGGTTGTTGTGAAGGACGTTGGGAGTGGCTCATCTAAAACTCCCTGACTGGAGAAAAAAAACCGGACACTACCAAGTCCTGGAGGGACACAGTGCTTGAGGGAGATCAGAAAAATGGCTCCTAGCTTTCTCCACTGCCATAGATCAGACCAAAGAGAGAAGCTGGTGTTAGAGAGGGACGGTGATGCTCAGGCCATCCTTTTAGAAATAGAGCCAAGCAAGTATAGTGACAGTGGAGTCATGGCAAACGTTGTTACATTTGAATTAGCCTTTAACTATCCATAGGCTTTCTTCAGCCTCCGTGTGTTTTGCTGAGGTAAAGGAAGTGTGACATTTCTTTGGAGCTGGAAAAGCTGGTACACAGTGCTTGCCCTCGCACCTTATGTTCTTTTTCTCAAAAATCAAGAAATCTTCATCTTTCCTGTCTATCCAGAGGGCTTAAATCAGTAGAAAAGCAAGTATCCCAGTTGGACATTTCCTGCTACTTTCTTCTACAGGTCTTGGGTATTCAGTTGCCTTGAAGCCTCATTTTGGCCTTTGTCTCTATTTCCTTTGCTTAGATTCCACTTTTGTGCCTTTACAGTGGTTCTGTACTAGCACGAGGACTGTCACTGTTCTCTCTTGTGTCCTTTACCTGAACAGTTGGCAGTCCCTGTTGCAGCCACTCTAAAATTGTGCTACAAGAAGCAGAATGGGGGCGTGGTGATGTGCGTCTGTAATCCCAGCACTCTGGAGGATCACTGCAAGTTGGAGGCCAGCCACGGCTATGTAGTGAGTCCAGGGCCAGCCTGAGCTACATAGCAAGAGCTTGTCTCCAAAAAATCCCCAAACTAAAACAAAAAAGCACAGTAAACTATGTGAGGCCAGCATAGGTTCCCAGGCAGCACACCATGTATTAGAAAGGCTGTGCATCTTTTCTGAGTATTTCATTGCAATGTTTATTGCCTGTGAACATTTTAATAAAAACTGGGCTATCATTAAAATTTTCATTCTTTGCCAGATGTTTCCCCTCAGTCTCATCCTGAAGAAATAGGTCTTTTTTTGTTGAAGTTTATTTGGCTATATTATGGAAAATTGCCTCTAATTGTGAGGTGGAGAAGCACGGCTTCCCTCTGTAATGTGCTCTTCCCATGATTTGTAGTGGTTTGATGAAGAAGCAGAGAGCAGTGACGATGTGGAAGTTCTCACTGTCAAGAAATTCCGAGGAGACCTGGCCTACAGACGCCAGGAGTATCAGGTGGGAGTCAGCCTGCACGGCTCTGCTACTTGAAGCGGGTTCTGGATTGGTCAGTTACAGCATGTGTAAGTAACAGTGCTGAGTTGTGAGTGAATGGTTTGTGAAGATGAGTTGACTGTTTCGTTTTTTGTATTTTAATCTTAGACTTCCAAGGGGCTGTTCTTTCCTATATGATTCTATATAATTTTTATTTCTCCTAAATAAAAAAAAGAAGAAACTATTTGGGTCCCCACTGGCCTGTTCCTCTGGGTTGTCCAGCCCCGCATTGTATGTGAGCCTCCAGCCAGACACCTCAGGCTGTCACAGGTGCAAAACACCCCAAAATGTGTAAGAAGCGGGAAAAAAAGGCTGTGAGGCACCAGGTTACTTTACATACTTCTCATTTCCTCCTTATGAAAATAGCAATGTGATGGATTTACAGGAAGGTAGCTGCAAAACCAGCATTTGGAGCCTGGTTTCTTTTACACTGTGCTGCTTCCGTGGTAGTAAGTCATTATATTCTCCATCTGTTCTGTCTGTACATTTAAGAAAGATAGTGCTCACTAAAATACTCAGGTTCATTGTAGGGTCAACCCTAACATTACCTCTGTTTAGCAAAAAAAGTCATTCTTGTACCGAATCCTTTTTCTTCCCTCCTTCCCTCCCTCTCTTTCTTTCTCTCTCTCCCCCCTTTGTTTCCTTCCTTCCTTCCTTCCTTCCTTCCTTCCTTTCTTCCTTCCTTTCTTCCTTTCTTTTTCTCTCTTTCTCTCTTTCTCTGTCTTTCATTGCAGAAAGCGCTGCAGGAGTATTCCAGTATCTCTGAAAACTTGTCACCTACCAATTTTGCCATGAGAAGGGACATCTGGGAAGGCCAGGCCCGCTGTCTGGCTCACCTGGGAAGGCATGTGGAGGCGCTGGAGATCGCTACAAACTTGGTGAGTGGTTTCATTACTTTCTTTTACCAAGGACAATTGAATAGTGTATTTTCTAGAAACAAAACAAAAAATAAGTTTTTTGTTAGCAGAATCAGTGGGGTTGGCTAAGGAAAAGAAATCAGTGGAATTTTATTGTGGATAATTTGGAGCTCTGAATATAATCCTTTCTTGTAATACTTTTTCAGTGTTAAGCTCAAAAATTTTCATTGTTTGGGAAAATCTCATTTGCACAGGTTTTACTCTTGTGAGGAGTACATAATGAGTGACCCTCTTTTTGTTTGTTTGTGTTTTAAGATTTTAGGTTTTGTTTTCCAAAATTTCTACAATGAATCATATATTACTCCTCTAAGTAGAAAAAATTATAAAAACATGAGTAAGGGGGCTGGGGATTTAGCTCAGCGGCAAAGCGCCTGCCTGGCAAGCGCAAGGTCGTGAGTTCGGTTCCCGGTACCGGAGAAAAGCCAAAAACATGAGTAAATACCAAGCCAAGGGTAACAGTCATTTTCATAGTCAGGCATGGGCGCATGCCTATAATCCCAGTACTTGGGAGGCTGAAGTGGAAGAATTGCCTCAAATTTGAGGCCAGCCTGGCCTACATAGCAAAACCTTGTCTCAAAAAGCAAGCAAAACAATAGAAAAAATGCTTTTCATTTTTTAAAGAGAATGTGCAAAACTTTTTTAAGGGGTAAAGAAAGGCAGTTGTTTGGGGGGATATAGCTCAGCAGCACAGTGCCTGCCTGGCACATGTGAGGTTGTGAGTTTGATTTCTGGTACCACAAAGAAAAAGTAGTTGTTTGTAACTGTAGATTCTGTTTTGTATTCAGATTAAGCCATTTGTGGCTTCCTCATGTAGGTTTTGTGTAAACAGAAATGGGAGTTAGTCTGGGTTGCCCTGCACTAGCATGTGGAGACCATCATTCTCTGTGGCTTGCTCCTCGGCCCTGTTGGCGTGGCCTGCAGGGTCTTCCTCTACCTTGTAACTGAGGAGCCACAGGGCCTCCCACCACGGGACCAAGGGCTCTCACAGCGCAAGGAGACCTTGGTGGGAAGGATCTGTAGCACAGGAAAACGCCATTTGTTCTTTCTCTTCCCTGCCTTACTAACTGTGCACTCATTCTTGAAGAGAAGGAGGATGGGTCACCACGCCAATCCAGCTTGGCTGTGAGCAGTGAGCCGGGGTGTGAACCAGCTCATGCTGGGCGCTCTGCTCTGCGCATCGCAGCAGTGGCTTCAGTGTCTGTTCTGGACCCACCGCCTCTTTGCCACCCTGCCATCGCCCTCTCGCGGGTCACCCTTGGCCTCAGCCTCTTTGCCTTGCTTGCTGGTCATCGAAGGCAGGAACAGCTGGAGGGATGGAGGGGGCTGGTGGTCTCTGTGGTCCTTCAATGTATCTATTTCTGTGGCCGAGGGAGGGATCCATGCCCATTTGTGGCTGCCAGGGCTCTAGAGCAGGAGGGGCTCCCAGGCAGGAGAGCACCAGTCTGAGGGGCTCTGGGCCCTGTCTGACTCTTGGGGCTGTTTGCTGGCCAGTGGGGTCATCCCGGTGCATCCTGCCTTCTGTGCGAGGCCCTTATTTCCTGCTACCCTGTGTGTTATGCTCTGAGATTTCTTCCCTGCTCAGGTTCTTTTCTTTTTTTTTTTTTTTTT